GGTAATTGCATCTGACTTTAATGATAAAAGTGTGGCTTAGAAGAAAGACTGCACCGATTTCAGGGTAGGGAGAAAAGATCCTTTTATCGTAAATCCAGAAAGGACTTTGCGGCTGCTTATCTGGGGTTTGCAATGCCCGTATCGGCTTCTGTCACGCTGCAGAGCTGTGGAATCTCTGCTTGAGCCTGGGGCTATCGGCTCGCTTTGAGGATGCCCTTGTCAGGGGCACCTTGCCATGGGGCGGAGCCTGTAAAATGGGGCGGAGCCTGTCTGATGGGGCGGAGCCTGTCTGATGGGGCGGAGCCTGTCTGATGGGGGCGGCTCAATGTTTGATTTGCAGGCCACGAGTCAGAGGACAGCATGTCAACACTGGCTGGACGCCGGGGAATGAGGCCCAAAATGATGATGCCCTTTGATGCTCAGCCCCCGCAGCGTAAGTGTGACTCCCCACCCCCACCACTACCCCAAACCTCCTCTTGACAGCCTTGCTAAGATCCCCCCCACAAGAGCTGCCCCGCCATGGCCATAACACGGGCAGCTGATGCTGTCGGCACTCCATGGGAGGCAACAGGAAGCTAACAGGAAGCACCAGATGGTGTCATCTGCCCTCTCCAGTGGCTTCAGTATGCCTCACAAGCCCCGCCCATTATTCACCATCCTGTCCAGGGTGGTTTTACATCAGCTGTTGGCAGCATTGAAGATGTTTTGGTACAAGACCTGAAGATAATTATGCAGTCTGGTCAACTGCTATTCAGCCCATTATTGAATGCATCTTTATTGTATTGCATCTGGGCGTTTGCTTGCTGGTCTCGTGGCCGCAGTTAAGTCAAGCTGCACGTATTCACTCAGTCTCCCCAAAGTGCCTGGTGGATATTAAGTGCTCCGCTTATAAACGAGCAAATGGAAAAGGCGGAAAGGAGCCAAAGATATGTCCCCCCCCCGTGCTGCACACGGCCCTCGCCACATCGCCCCCACTTTCCTGTGTCGGCAGCCCCAGGATCCTCCTTCAGGTTAAGTGACTGTGTCACGCCCGGTAACAGGATTTCATTCTACGAAATGGGAAAGAAAACATTTTTAAAAACCTTATTTTCCTGGAGCTTTTCCATGTCAGTATAACATCTTAAATTAAATGCAGCTTCTCTTTTAAAATATTAATGTCATTATTTACTTATTCCCTCCAAACCAAAAATATTAACGTCCTGTTGACTTTTCCTCGCCATTGGTTTCAGAAGCCAAACTAAAAATTGAGAAAACGTCCCATTAATGGCTGTGGGACTGGATGCATTGAGTGGGAATGACGTCTGGAAGCAGCTACATTTTTCCCATTACACACAGAACCACAGAAAGACTCGCTCGTCAGTCGTCTTTCATACCCTGCCTTTTACATTCTTTTATTGCGTTTTTTTAAAACCAAGAGGCAGCCCTATCATCTTAAATCATGGCTGAGCGTTTTTATCGGCCATTTCCTGGACTTTCCAGATGATGAGGAGAACCTAGACTGCTGGAAAATGTATCTTATTTAAAACGCTATGGAGTCCGTGAATGATGTGTTTTTCGCCAGCGTGGTGCCTTGTGTGCGGCTGCTCTGTGTGTGCGTGGACCCCCTCGTGAGCTCCTGGTGTAACTGTTCCCTCCCTGTGCTGTTGTGTCCATCCGCAGCTGTGATTAGTGCTCACCCCATCCATTCCCTCGATAACCATCAGCACCATTATCACTCGGGCAGCCTGGCCTCATCAGCACGCAGCTGCCTCCTCCACCAGATCAACCCACGGCCAGTCGCCACCCCCATCTCCCACCTAGACAGGGCCCACTCCGAAGGTGAGACTGCCCCCCAAAGGCCTTCTGGGTAATGCTGTCATGAAGATCAGTACAAGCTCAGCTCAACCTGCTGAACATGGCTTTTGATAGTCATCAGTAGAATTCTAGACACAGAATTAATTCTCTTTCAGTAGCTAACTTGGAGAATTAGCTTCATTTTCTCACATCAGCGCTTGTCACAAACACCCAACTAACAGTCATGAGGTTTGTGTGTTCAGCTGGCAGCACACAAACACTCATGTGTAGTGGCTCCTGCCTGGTGAAGCCCTGTGGTATGTTGAGCTGCTGTCCTGCTTGTCTGTCTTCTGCCTCACCCCGAAGCTGCCTCAGATGTCCTCCTCTATGCCGCAGCTCTGGCTAACGGATCCCAGGCCTTTCTTACGCACGCACAGCCTTGAGAACCATGAGCGAGGGGGATGCTTTGGTCGCGGATGGGTGATGCTGCCGTTTACTCTGCATAACCACAGAGAGTGTTTGAGTGCCCCCTGCAGGAGAGTTGTGTAACAGCACTGGTGAATTCATGCGAGTGCTCTTTAGTTCAGCCACAGGCACTGTCTTGGGTCCCATTTTACGTTCAAAGCGGTGCTTGTTTTTAAAATCTGAAACCAGCAGATGCTTTTCCTTTTATGAGATGTTTCATCAAACAGTCAAGAATTGTTTACTTGCATGTTATAAACCAGTATATGAAGCCAGTGGGTTTGTTGTGCAGTGCTTTGGGTTATACCCATGTGCCTGTCTCCCACCCGGAGCCCCGCAGGGGGTCACCTGATCCATGCTGGGATCTCCATACCTCTGTCATTACAGAGTCTGTAAGGAACACCCCCAGTGTAGACCCCCTGCCTGCCTCAGGACAGTCTGCAACTTCAGCAGACCACATGGAGCCCGACGGCAGCTACATGAGCTCCATCCCCGATGACGAGGCCAGCTACAACCCCCCCAACACGCACATCCGGCCCGCACACCCCCTGAAAAGCTTCGCAGTGCCTGCTATCCCTCCCCACAACCTCAGCTATGAGTCCCCCGCCCTGCCCAGCACCCCGCTTCTCACACAGTCAGGTGGGTCCGCGCTGTGCTTCAGCAAACACACGCTTGCATTTCCCCCATGTCTATCGCATTTCTTTGAGAGGTCAAAGGTTACATTCTCTCAGGGAGATCAATGCATTTAAGACTGATGATTTTCATTGATTGTTGTTTCAAACCTCATGTGTTGCTGGGTGTCCAGATACTTTTTGTATGAGATATTACAGAAGGTGGGGGGGGGGGGTCGTGCAGCTCCTTGAGAGAGAGAGAGCTGGAAGCCAAGGACCTGTGTTGAGTTCCCCGTGCTCAGTGTGAGGTGCTGCTTCAGGTCCCTCCCAGCTCCACTCGGTGAAGACTGCCTCCATTGGCACGCTGGGCAGGATGCGTCCCCCCATGCCCATCATCATGCCCAGTGCCCCAGACCTCCAGGAGACCAGTAGGATGCTGGAGGATGCCGAGTGTGTGAGTATGAGCACAGCCGCCTGAAGGCTGAGTGTGAGCATTAACATGGCCGATCTGAGGCCTGGGTGTGAGCGTGAACGGTGCTGAGCGCAGGCCTGTGTGAGCGTGAACGGTGCTGAGCGCAGGCCTGTGTGAGCGTGAACGGTGCTGAGCGCAGGCCTGTGTGAGCGTGAACGGTGCTGCCCGCAGGCCTGGGTGTGAGTTTGAAAGACAGGGTGGAGCAGGGGGAGCACCAAATGAAGGCAGTCGGTGGCATATGTGGCCGTGTGGTAGTATGTGAATGAGCGGCGGAAGCACACGTGGACGTGCTGTCATGAGTTTTTGTAAGTGTTACTTTTCAGCTCATTAATATTCTAAGTGGTGTTTTTCTTTTCTCCTCCTCCTCCTCTTCCTCGTCATTGTCTGCTTTGTGGCTTTTCCATTATTGCACAATGATATATTATTTGCTCTAATGCCGCTGCCTGCCGTCTGCCTTGTGTGCTCTGGCTGCTCCCCGTGTCCTGGCTCCTTAATCCGTATGCAGTGCCTTTGACCAGCATTACAGCACCCTGCACCCCCACCTGGCAACCAGCCTCCTCTCCCCCACCCCCCCGCCTGGGCTAGCCCCCTCCATGCCTGCCAGTAACCCTATTCCTTTCCTTCAGAGCTATGAGCCAGATGAGTTAACAGAGGAGATGGCCCACCTGGAGGGCTTGATGAAGGACCTCAATGCTATCACCACAGCCTGATCACACTGCAGGCCCCCAGACAGCAGGGGGCGCCAGACAGACAGATTCAAGAAAACAGAAAAACAAGAAGGAAAAAGGGAAGGGAAAAACAAACCTCTTGGCTCACCTTGCTTACTCTCAGGAAGGAGATGGCCATTTAAAGGAGCAGGCTCCTCTTTTTAAGAGGAAATAACATATAGTGACAATAACAATGGTTACTTCAACCTGAAGATTGTGGTTGTGTCTGCAAAAAGTTTATCCTTCGGTTGCCATGGAGAAGTTCCAAAAGACACCATTTTATAAAAGGAAAAATAGTGTCTGTATTCTTTCGTGCTCTTTTTGGCACAAACTTACAGTGTTTGGACATTGCATTAGCATCATTCATTTGTGTATTTTTCCTTTTTATGTATGACCCAGCAATCTGGTGAAGCAGGAACAGGAAGACTGAGCGTTTCCTTCCATGACTCTTGCGTTTTCTGAGTGACTGAATGTTTGTCCCCCGTTCCTGTCCAACATGTGCCATGTCTTTTCATTTAGTTTTTATTGACACACACACGTGTATATGATATGTATATATGTTTTTAATCTGCCTCATTCTCTTGCCGTCCCTGCATTGTTTCGGGGTTGTGTGATGATGACGCTCTGCATATATCCGTATCCGTTCACTAAGGGACACGCTGTGACGGAGTCTCTGAAAGCACCACCACAATCACGTCGCTCTCCAGCTGAAAACCTTTATGGCTCCATTTGAAGAGCAGCACCCACAGGAAAGTCCCCAGCTTTCCTTTTCAGTTCTGGACTGTAGTGGGGCCTCCTGATGATGACATGTGAAATTTCATTTATCCTAAGCAAGCTGGCCCTGCAGTACAAATACCCTCGTGCATGGAATACTTACGGCCATTCTGGTCCGCTTTGAGTGAAAGGCAGATACCTGACAGAATCCAAGAATGCCCCCCCCCAGCCAGGCAGCTCAAGATAGACAGACAAAATCTGTAAAGTGGTTTCATTGTTTTAAAAACAGGACGATTCATTCATGTTACAAACTGGTTCATTTTTGGCATTTTACCCAAGGAGAAATGTGTTCACAATCAGTTTCTTTGTGACCCCCCCACGTGTATTTCCCGAATGTTAATATTACTGTAAGAAACTTTGCTTAAGGATACTAAAACATTTGTTAAAGCTGAGGAGAAAAATGACCCCCATCCCCAACAGGAAATGAGTTGTTGTCAAACCTGTATTGCACTTTTCCCACATTTCTTACATATCCTGTGTTTAAGATGTTAAGTATGTTTTGTGTAACTCTAGTGTTATAGGTTATAGCAGTTGGCAGCTGGGCTACTTTGTTTCCGTTTTGCCGTTTTGAAATGGAGCAGGTTTTGTGTTGCAGATGAGGAATTCAGTTGTTGCTTCTGTCTGTACAAAGATCTTTTTGCTTTCTGTAGAGAATTCTGTGGCTTTTTTAAAAAAAAAATAATGGAAGAAAAAAAAAATCATGTTCTTATTTAGTATTGGTGCTCCAATACATTTTATATTGAACTATTACCTGCCATAAGCTTGTTTCTCTGTGCATCTGTGTGTTTTTTTTTTTGTTTTTTTGGTTTAAGACATTTAACCAGTGTTTTAAGCTAAACTGCAGAAGCAGTGGTTCACTGGGAGGAATGTGTGGCTCAGTAGGTTGGGACCTGGGTTCTCGTGGCTCCATGCGTATTTAAATCATCCTTACAGGTAGCATTTGTGAAAAAATAAATTTTAAAAAATACATCGCAGGGACAGTGGGTGGGTAGACTAGTGGTTAACACCGTTGCCTCTCACCTCTGGGACCTGGGTTCAAGTCCACCATGGCTCCATGGGTGTGGCACCCCATGATTTAAATACGCATGGATCCACGAGAACCCAGATCCCAGACATTAGACGACGGTGCTAACCATTAGTCTAGTTAGTTACCTATACCTGATGTATTTTCTTTGAATTAATTTTTTTAAAATTACTGGGAGGAACAGAATCTTGCATATTCTCCCCCAGACCACAAACATGCTGACATTAACTGGAGTGACCAAATTATCCATAGATATATCCTATGCACCCATAGGGTCCATAGTCTATCATAACAGCTCACTGATGGCAGAGGCTGGGAGGAACAGAATCCAGCAGGAACCGCCCCCAGGAGCCCTTGTTCCAAGCAGCAACTGCTCAGCCTAGCAGGGGGTAGATCACCAAGGTCTATAGACCTCTGGGGGTTTTGAAGTTCATCCCAGGTCGGCTGTGCGACCAACAAGTCACCAAAGTTCTAGAATAGAGCAAAGCAGAAACTGCAGCTTAAACACTCTTACAGAAACTGCAGCTTAAACACTCTTTTGTTAACAGAAAAGTTTTTTAAAATTCTAAACTGATACCTCTTCCTCAGTAGTTTGCATTGAAGACAACAGGTAGTTTGATATTTCTTATATTTACTATATTAAAGGCAGCTAACCAAACATTCACAGCAATACCTCACATAGATGTGTGCCATTCCAGAGGCTGGGGCGTGTGCTTAGTGTCAGGATCCACCTCAATCGTCTCCAGGTCCAGAGATGATGCCTGGAAGAGGGTCATGGCAAGGTTAGGGCCAGCAGGCTTTAAAAGGAAGCTCCGGCTTTAAAAAACAGACTCTGAACGATCGCATGTCAGACTGACAAGAAGAAAATGTGTGAAGGCTGCACCGATCCTGTCAAACCCAGTCTCTCTCAAACACAGGAAAGGCTTTGTCTGCATCATCACTGACCTGACATCAAGCCCGTCAACATCACTTCCAAACATGCCAATTTCTCCCAAATTAAATGCAAAGTCACAGAAATAGATTTTTATATGAAGCAGCCTAATTGCAGTTCATATGTTTTCTCAAAACAAGCAAGAAATATCCCAGTTTTGTGTTGAAGACACTCATGCGGGAAATGAGCTTACAGATGGGTAAATGTGGGTAAATGTGGGTAAATGTGGGTAAATGCGGGTCAAAGCCAGTCAGTGTCTGATTTTTAACCCAGCGGGACCCAAAAAATGAACCAATGAAGTTACATTAGTTGGTGACTGACAGTGCATGATCTTACGCACGGTAGGTACAGAAGCCTGATTTCTGAATTTAAAATGTGGGAAATTCCTTCCACATTATGACCCAATGTACAATTTCTTAGCAGGCAATTTAATTAGTCTAATTAAAGTGAATTTTTCTGATGGGACTTGAACTAGCAGCCTTTAATTTAACGTCAACAGAACTGTTACTGTCCCTTTACTGGAGCAGGGCGTTCTAACGACGCACACTTATTAAGCAGACTATTCTGTCCAAAGGGACAAACGACCAGGATAAAAATACATCACAAGCATACAGCTGTGAAGAAAGCAGGGTGATGTGACCAGTAACAAGAGCAGGATCATTATGAGACAAATAGATACAGAGCACTGCTCAGGGTAAAATCTGCAAAGCTGCACAAGTGACACCAAAAGAATCAAGCAGACACAAAGTGTGAAATACTAGAACAAAAATGTGTGACAAACTAGAAAGCCATTCACAGCAAAACGTGAAGCATCACCTAAAGACTGCACTGACAGAAACTGTACCATTAAATTCCAGGTTTTTATCAAACCATCATTTTCTCCTTCACACTCAATGAGTTAAACATCAACCTTTCGAAATGTTAAAGCATAAAGCAGTGCCTCCGAAGCCCCTAAGTCCGCCCAGGCACAGCGCAGCCCAGCACCCTAAGTCCGCCCAGGCACAGCGCAGCCCAGCACCCTAAGTCCGCCCAGGTGCAGCGCAGCACCCTAAGTCCGCCCAGGTGCAGCGCAGCCCAGCTCCCTAAAGCCGCCCAGGAGCAGCGCAGCCCAGCACCCTAAAGCCGCCGCGCAGCCCAGCACCCTAAAGCCGCCCAGGCGCAGTGCAGCCCAGCCCCCTATGTCCGCCCAGGCGCAGTGCAGCCCAGCCCCCTAAAACCGCCCAGGCGCAGTGCAGCCCAGCACCCTAAACCAGTGTTGCCAATTTAGCGACTTTGTCGCTATATTTAGCGAGTTTTTAGATCCCGCTAGCAGTGATGGGCAAGTTACTCTGGGAAAGTAATCCGATTACTGATTACTAATTACTCAGTTCAAAAGTAATCCAATTACTGATTTATGATTACTTCCATAAAAAGTAATCCAATGGATTACTTTTAGTTACTTTTTGTGACGGCCATGTATTTCCACAATACTTAAATCCACTTCATACCACCAGCAATTCAGTTCTTAAAAGAAACAACAACAGGGGTCTAGTTAACACTTTATTGGCATCTTGAACAAGGCCAAAACAAGCAATCAACTTTCTAAGTTGAATATTTAATAAAA